ACCTCCATCCCATGAAAGAGGGCGGGGCATTCAGCAGGTATGAGCTTCCTTCCCCAACACACTGACCTCTACTGCTTAAACTTGTCTCTGAATTATACTTATTTTCCTTTCTATTTTGCTTCCTTTCCTTCCTCCACCACTACCCCATTCATTCATATATATATATATATATATATATATATATATAGAGAGAGAGAGAGAGAGAGAGAGAGAGAGAGAGAGAGTGTGTGTGTGTGTGTGTGTGTGTGTGTAGGGGTGCTTTGTGTGCATACTATGTATGTGCCTGCCAGAAAAGGGTGTCAGAGCCCTTGAAACAGGAGCCTTCCCTCTCCTCACTTTTCTTCCTCTCCCTTCCCCTTCTCTTCTTGGTGCTGGTCTCCAGCCCAGGGCTTTGTACACACTAAGCATGTCCTTTAGTGTTGATCTACATCCCTGGCCATAAATGATATTCTTCTGATACCAAAAAAAAAAAAAAAAAAAAAAAAATTTAAAGGCTTTCACTTACTGTTAAAAACTCTCTCTCTCTCTCTCTCTCTCTCTCTCTCTGTGTGTGTGTGTGTGTGTATGTGTTTTATATATAATTTCCAGAAACTAAGCTTTATACAGTGACATTTGCACTCAGGAAATCCTTACCCATCCAAATTGTACTTCTTATCTCTAGGATGCAGCGCCCCTCTTAATTGCATCAGAGGAGATAAAAGAACAGGTTTTTAAAATGTGATTGTATTTTTAGCTGTCCTAATACAAGGGTAGTGTAAGGAAGGCAATATTTAGTGAGGAGAGCTAGCTCTATTTGATAGGTTATTCTGTGGGTTGAATGTTAAGGTATTGAGGACCAGACATTTCTTTAGAAATATTTATGTTTTTAGAAACATAGGCAGTTTTCTAATCTTAAACCTTGCAACTTTGTTTGCTTTATTTCTTAGTTTCAGTATATTGCATAGGAATACATAAGGTGGAGGAGTTGGGGGGGGTTTGGGAGCAGGAGAGTAGGCCCCAGAAGAGATGGAGTTAGTTTACTCCTTTTCTAATTTAGATACCTTTACCAGTGACCTTTGTTGGCTATGAGTAAATGTTTGACAGGAAGCAGCGTAAGGGAAAGGTTGGCTTACAGTTTGAGATGATGGAGTCCATCAAGGTGTGGAAGACAAGGAGTCAAGGGCTATGAGGTGGCTGGTCACACTGTGTCTGCAGCTAGGAAACAGATGAATGCTATTTTCTGCTTTTATTCAGTGTAGGACCTGAGCCCTTGTGGTGGGGCCAGTCAACCTGACAATTAAGACTAACCATTGCACTTTTTATTTATTTGACTAGTTACCCAATTTGTGGTTGGCAGTGGTTCAAAGGGGAGGGGGCACACCTTCCCTTCTTCCTGGTTTTGCTGGGGGCAAGATTTCATTCTTTAGCCAGTGAGTATGCTGTTAGCATGAATTTTCCATGAATGCCTTGTGTGGTTCATCTTCATTGTCAGTTTGACTGGATTTGGAATCCAAGAGTCATGGGCATGTTTGTACCAGCATTTACAAAGAGAATTTCAGAGAGGGAGACTCACCCTGAATGAGAGTGATTACATCCTATAGATGGGGCTCTAAGTTGGATAAAATGGAAAGGAGGAGGAAGCCAACTGCTTACCAGCATTCGTCCCTCTGGTCTGTGTTATGCACTCATGTGCTTGCCTCATGTGACCATGTCTTCTTTGCTATGATGGACTGTATCTTCAAACTGTAAACCAAAATAAAGCCACACTTAAGTTGCTTCTTTAAGTATTTGGTTTGTAGAGACAGGAAAGTAACGAATAGATGCCCTGCATTAAATTAAGGAAAACTCCTTCTGCTTGAAGTATACTCTTTGTCATGAAAAATTGAATTTTGTCAAATGCATTCCAGTTAGATCAGCTGCTCTCAACCTGTGGATGGTGGCCCCTGAAAGTTGACTAAAAAACACAAATATTTACATTATGATTAGTAATGGTAGCAAAATTAGAGTTATGAAGTATTAATGAAAATTTTATGGTTGGGGGATACCACAACATGAGAACAGCATTAGGAAGGTTGAAAATCACTGGATTAGATGATCATAGAAGCTCTATTTTACTGATAAACTGTGCTATATGGATTCATTTTCTTATTCTAAATGACACTTGCATCTTGGAGTAAGTCCTACCTGGTCATGACGTATGGTCCTTCTGTTGTGCTGTTGAGTTTGATTTGCCAGTGTTTTGCTGAGAAACTTGGCATCCGTATTCATAAGAAATATGGACTTGAGTTTTTTATTGACATATTTGCCTGGCTTTGGTAATGATTTCCTTCATTTTTAGGAAGGGTTTTAAGTTTATTTTATTAGTCCTTTGAGAGCTTTTGGTTTTGTACAATGTGATTTGATCATATCTGCCCTCTTCCTCTACCTCTTTCCAGATCCACTCCACCTTGTCTACCCATTGAACTTTGCCCACTCTTTTTTAAACAAAACAAAACAAAACCCCTTGATGACCACTTGTCTTCCACTGGGACATGGTCAACTTATCAGGAGATGTACTCCTTTAGAAAACTGTCTCTTCCTCTCCCGTTACCTAACAATAGCCATTAGCTTCACTGCTAGGGGTGGAGTTGTGTGTCCCCCTTGCCTCTCCATGCTGGGGTTTGGTCTGGCACAGGTCTTGTACATGCTGTCACAATTGCTGTGAGGTGACAGTACAGCTGTTCTGCTGTGTCCTGGGATGTTTCTTTGTAGGCATCCATGTCTTCTTACCCTTAACACTCTGCTCCCTTTTCTGCAATGATCCCTGAGCCTTTGGATGTCCTCTGTGTGTGAAGTTTATAAATTCCCGTTAGGGCTAAGTAGTGGCTTACTCTCTGCACTTTAGTCAGCTTTGGGCCCTTGTGTTAATCACCATCTACTGCAAATAGAAGCTTCAATTAGGGTTCAGAGATGCATTGATCTGGAGGTCCCTTCCTAGACAGTTTTTGTTTCTGCAGGGTGGGTCAGCAGGTAGTTCTTGGTTGATAGTTGTTTCATTTAGCACGTCACCTCTTTCTGCACCCTGCTTCTGTGAGAAATTGATCACTTATACCGTATTGTATGTAATGAGTTGTTTTTTGCTCTCTGCCTTTGAGATTTTTCTCCTTGCCATTTGATGATTTGATTTTAATCTGTCTGTTAAATCTGATTCAGTCTATCTTCTTGGAGTTCTTTGTGTTTCTTGGATGTGTATGTCTTCATCAAATTTTGCAAGTTTTTGTCTGTTTTACCTGAAATACTTTCCTGTACCTTTTCCTTCTTGTGGGACTCACATATTTGTATGTTAATAACTTAAATGCCCCATACAGCTCTCCTCAGCTGTGGTTTTATTGTGGTTTTGTTTTTGTCAGTTATTCTTTCCAGTTTCAGCTTCATTTGGGTTCAGTTGTCCTGGCTTCAGGATTGCATCTTTTGTCTGCTCAGACCTCCTGCAGGATCTCTCTAGACGTTTTTTGTTTCTGTGGTAGTTTTGTTTCAATACTGTACTCTGTAATATTTCAACCCAATTTCCATATAGAATATCCATCAGAAGTAATATTCCCAGGCCAGTCATACATTCCTCATCCCGGTTTGATTTTGTTGTCTGTGAATTCCTAGGCAGTCCACCAGTAAGCCCAGTGCTTAGACTTCTTCCCGGATTTCTTTCAATTTTGTTGTTGTCTACCTCCCCCCCCCCCAAGCTGATCCATACAAACTATGTACTTCACAGTTTCCTGTTGAGAGCAGGTAAGAATGCAGTAACTCTGGGAGACAGATAGTCTAAAACATTTTATGATTTTTACAAGGACTGTATTCCCTGTGTATAATCATTGAAAACTCTTCTGCTGTCTTGAGGTCAGCCAACAGTCGGGGCCCAATAAGGAAAATAAATGTTTCCATCATTCATTTCTTTAAGGATGTTTCCATCATTCATTTCTTTAAGGAATCTGCTTTAGCCCTAAGGAATCCCTTTAGCCCTAAGAGGGTTGAGTCAATGGTCAGCCTCTGTTCTGGTCACTCACTGAACAGTCAGGTAAATCAGAATGTGAGTCTTCACATTATAGAGGACACATCTTCATCTTCTCCCTTGCTCCAACAGGCCACTCTAGGAAACGAGCCATACTCCATGGCTACCAGATGGAGCCTGGATGTTGAAAGATACTGAATGCTGGAATTCAGTGTCTCCCCCCGCAACACCTATTTTTTTTTTTTTTTAAGTTCAGTACTTCTCCAGGTGCTGAAAACATTATTTAGTAGACCTCAGAGTTTGAAATAATTGATTTAACAGTTCTTGTCAACTTGGAAATTGATTTGGTAGAGGTACGATTTTTCAGTGTTTACCCCAACATCTTCTAGGATATCACTCCTGTATTGATTGTTCAATTTAAAAGGTGTTTTATTTCTCTCTCTCTCTCTCTCTCTCTCTCTCTCTCTGTGTGTGTGTGTGTGTGTGTGTGTGTGTGCGTGTGCGTGTGTACCTGGAAAACCTGTTTCTTGAGATAAAGGCCTGGCTTATAAGATGTGAACTTAATTGTTTTATCCTTTTCCTGTCACATGCAAAATATTATTTTATGTCATCTCCGCACTTTGTTCACAGAGCAGTAAGACTTATGGTTCGTTAGAACAGTGACTGTTTCCAGGGCATTGGTGCAAAGGCCAGGCACATGGAAAGACAAAACAGTAAAGTGAAAACAATTTTAAAACTCATGATAGATGTATGCATTCATATGTGAGGGTGGCATTTTAAGGGTTATGTAATTGTGAGTGCACAGCACCCTTAGAGTTAAGTAATATAAATACATTGTATGGCATCTTCAAAGAATTTGTAAAAATATTTTTTAAACTGTAGAAATACAGGATTTTTAGATAGGCTTATGTAGTATCATCCCTACCTGTCTTGAATCTGTACATATATGATGTTAAAAGATTTGATTTCTGTGTATTACTATCTTTGCATGACTCCAAATGCTGTGATTTCATGTATACATTTTCCTCTGTTATAGGACAGTTCGTGTTTGGTTAAAGAGGGACAGTGGACAGTACTGGCCAAGCATATACCATGCAATGCCTTGTAAGTATCCTGGTTTCCTGAGAACCCAGATCTTTACCCCAGTGGTCCTTCCTTCCCTGTTTACGTTTTTGTATTTTCTTCTTGAGTAACTAAGACTAAAGGTTGGGGATATCATTAAACTGAAAATTTTATATTTCTCTAAGGATCTCACTATGAAAAGTAAGAAAATTGTTTGGAAATTGACTATATATTCACAGGTTCTGAATGAGAGGAATAGAAAAAGACCAGTTCTCTGATTACAGCAGCCCCCTCCTGTTTCAAACTTTGTTTTAGCTATTTTGGAATCTATGACCTTAGAAAATTCACAGTTCTGTCAGGTGATTATATTTATGAAGTGAATTTGTCCTTATTGTTGTTAAATAGTTTATCCAAAATTCAAGACATTCAGCACTGAGCATTCAGTTCTTAAGGATTTGAAACATTCTAATTAGAAGTGGATCTTATTTCGCCAAGATCTTACTGGAGAAATATGTCCTTACACTGATTGGTACAAGAATTGTACCAGCCATGCCATAATCGGCATAAGGCATCAAAGCATAGTGGAATGAAATCAAGAGCAACAGCCAGTTTTCCATTCTGGGAGATCATAGAGCTGAAAGATAGGAGAGAAGAGGAAGGAACGAATTTCCCAGCTTGTTCTCTAATACAAGTTCCTCTACAGGCGAGGAACTGAGCTGTCATGTTAGAAAATTACTCTTAGTCTAGAAATTTCATTCTTTAAAATTAACGAGGTTTATTCTATGTTTGTTTTGGTGTAAAATAATTATTTGAATATATTACAGTAATTTTTTTTTCTTTTTTGTTAAGATAGGGTCTTACTATGTGCCTTGCCTGGTCTCAAACTTGTTATATAGACTAGGCTGGCCTCACGCTCACAGAGGTCCATGTGCTTTTGCCTTCCCCTAAACCCCAACTGTGTGTAAGTGGGGGGAGGGGAGTGGAGTACTGGGATCAAAGGCCTGTGCAGCATTCCCGTTGTCCATTTAAATCTTAATTAAAGTTGGCATCGTAGAAAAAAAATCTCCCTGGTTTGTTAGGGCTCACACACCCTTTGCTGTCTGTAGTATGTGTCTTGTCCCTTCAGAAGTATCACAGCTTCAGAAGATATGACACTATGCCAAACCAAAGTAGATTCTAGGTGATTTTGTTTACTCCTTTGACAGAAGAGTACTATAATATTTGCTTATTCATGACTAAATGACTTACTTTTTATAACTTTTTATATAGCATATTTTGATTATATTCCACACAACTCATCCTGGAGCCTCACCTCCTCCCTACCCACCCAAATTCATGTTTTCAAGAAACAAAAACTAAACAGCCCCCACCTAATAAAACAAATGAAAATCAAAACAAACAAAAACCATTAACACCTAAAATGCCAAAACAAAACAAAAAGTTCCTCCCCAAACACACACCTACCCACACACAAAACAAGGCTAAACTCATGGAGTTCAATATGTTGGCCAACTACTGCTAGAAATGGGCCTGCCCTAGAGTTGATATATACAGTGACAAATCCATTGGAAAAAAACCTGATTTTCCGTTTCCTCATAGGTATCAACTGTAAATAGATTCCTGGTTAGTGGTGGGACTTTGTGTCTGTTTGCCTCATGGGATTTGATTGACTTGAATCTGTGCAGGGCTTGATTGTGCAGCCCCAGTCTCTTTGAGTTCATGTGTCAATCAGTCCTGTTGTGTCAGCAAGATACTATTTCTTTGGGGTCACCTATTACCTCTGTCTCTTATACTCTTCCCACCTCCTCTTCTACGAAGGTCCTTGAGAATTGAGGGTAGGGGTTTGATGAGTACATCCCATTTAGGACTGAGTGCTCCAAAGTCTCTCACACCAGGCATACTGTCCAGTTGTGGATCTCTTTGTTAATTGCCATTTACTGCAAGAAAAAGCATCTATGGGCATAGCAATATGTCATTTGGAGATATTTTATGGTATGTTCCTTTATCAGAATACTAGTAGTAGAATTTCCCTTAGGCCCATGACCTATCCAGTCTCAGGTATGGGTTCCATCTCTTGGGTGGGTCTTGAACACAATTTTTAAAAGTTGTTGATTACTCTCGTGACAGTCATGCCATGGTTGTACCAGTATATATTGTAGGCAACAGCCTTGGGTTGTCTGGGGATTCCCATGGAACCACTTTGACCATAAACTCACTTAGATATAACCCAATTCTGGAACTAGAAGAGTCATTTGGTGGTCAATTGGGACTGAGTCTCCCTCATTATTTGGAAATTTCATTTAGAGTGCCTTCATATGTGTATATATTTTAGGAAGCTTCTACTGTATAAGCTTTCCATACCACCCCTCAAATAATCCTTAATTTTAGCTCTCTCTACCTGTATTCCCTTTTTCATCCACCCTTCTCTTCTCCCCACTTGATCCTCCTGGTTCCAGCCTCTCCCTCCATCCATAACTATCTATTCTATTTCTCTTTCCTAATAAGACCAGCCTGTATCCTCAGGTTCCTTACTCTATACCTATCATGTGGGTCTATGGATTGTAGTCTGATTATCATTGATTTAACAGCTAATATCCACATATAAGCACACAGCATGGTATTCTTACAAAAAACAGACTGTTGATAAATGGAATTGAAGACCCATACTTATTACCTTGTATATAACTCAACTCCAAATGGACCAAAGGCCTCAACATTAAACCAGATACACTAAACTAATAGAAGAGAAAGTGGGGGACTTGAATTCATTGGCACAGAAATGGCTTTCTGAACAGAAAACCATTAGCACAGATACTAAGATCAACAATTAATAAATTGTTCTTCATGAAATGTGAGAAGTTTCTGCATGGCAAAGGACACCATCATTCAGACAGAACAGCAGCCAACAGAATAAGAAAAGATTTTTACCAACTACACATCTAATAGGAGCAATTATCCAAAATATATAAAGACCTCAGAAAACTAGATTTCAAGAAAGCAAATAACCCAACTTAAAAATTGAGGTACAGATCTAAACAGAGAATTCTCAATAGAGGGATTTTAAAAGCCTGGGAGACACTTTAAAAAATGTTTAGCAAGCTGGGCAGTGATGGCGCACACCTTTAATTCCAGCACTATGGAGACAGAAGCAGGTGGATCTCTGTGAGTTCCAGGACAGCCAGAGAGAGCTGTTACAGAGAAACCCTGTCTCAAACTCCACCCCACCCCAAAAGAGAGAAGAGAGAAGAGAAGAGGAGAGGAGAGGAGAGAGGGGAGGGTTTAGCATCCTTAACTATCAGGAAAATGTAGATAAAAACTACTTTGAGATTTTATCTTATCCCAATCAGAATAGCTAAGATCATTAAAACAAGTGATAACTCATGCTGGTAAGGATATTAAATAAGGGGAACACTCATCCATTGCTGGTGAGAGTACAAACTTGTGCAGCCAGTATGGAAATCAGTGTCACCGTTCCTCATGAAGATGGGAAACTCTTGGGCATATATCCAAAGGATGCCTCGTCCTACCACAAGGACACTTGCTCAACCATGATCATTGATGGCTCTATTCATAATAGCTAGCAATTGAAAACAACCTAGATGTTCCTCAACAGAAGAATGGATAAAGAAAATGTGGTACATTTATACAATGGGGGTATTACTCAGCTATTAAAAAAAAAAAAAAAAGACATGAAATTTGTAGGTTAAGTGGATAGAGCTAGGGAAAAAAAATATCACCCTGAAACCTAGAAAGACATACATGGTATGTATTCACTTTTATGTGGATGTTAGCTGTTAAGTCTATGAATTTTTTTTAACAAAGCATTTCCTGTGCCTTTGACTTGTGTTTCTTCCTCTTCCTCTGTACCTATTGTTTTTCTCTAGTGTCTCTGATTTCCTATATGTTTTGTGTCTAGATTTTTTTGGGGGGAGTTAATATTTTCTTTGAGCTATCTATTTCTTCTACCTTGTCTTCAAGACATGAAGGTGTCTCTTCAGTGTCTTGTAATCGCTTATTGAGACTTATCTCTGGGCGCTTTTTAAATTTCACTTCCAAAAGTTTTCATTTTCAATTTGTGTTGCCTTGATGATTCTATAGCTTTGTTAAATTATGCCTTCACCCCTTGAATTGTTTTCCATATTTCTTTCAACTATTTGTGTTTTCATGGTCTCCATTAAGGTATTTATTCATATTCTCTCCAAGGTCCTTGAACATAATCATCATTGACACTTTGCAATGTGGCTGCTGCCTTTGGGAGAGGCATGCTGTCTTGGCTTTTCATGTTTTTGCCCCGAGATCTAGGCATCCGGGGTTATAATGTTTGAAGTTATGATGGTCTTGGCATAGATATCTACTGTCTTCCTTGTTGGGTGGGTGTCTTGTCCCATGGTTGCTGTTTCCCACTCTGGATCCTATCCCAGTGTGGCTGTGGGGTCCCTGATAGAGAGTGTTTCTGTAGGTGACCGGTTGTCATGAAGGACTGGAGATGGGATGGAAGGAAAGGCTGGGAGGGGTGACAGGAAGGAACTAGGAGGACCCTGGGTCTGCATCAAGAGGCAGAGTCCCTAGGAGAAGGAGGAGAGCTGGGCATGGGGGCTTCTGCGGACAGGCCGCAGCAGGACTTAGAACATGTGTGGCGAGAGCAGGACGGAGGACAGGAAGGGTAGAACAAGTTGCCTCCCTGAGTCCCAGCCTAGTGCAGAACTTGTGGTTCTGCAGGTCAGCGGGTGTCACAAAGGAATGAGGATAGGCTAGAAATGCTGAAAGGGTAACAAGTGTGTTGTTAAGGATATAGTGGTTTTCATTGATTTTCAAGTTATCTTTGAGGCTTTTGATGACTCTAGAATTTTCTATTAAGTAGGTAGCAGCCACAAAGCTGACCTGATTTTTCAACCCATTTTCTATGAAGAAGAAACTTTTAGGGATTCTGTGTTTTACCTGTTTTGGTTCTGGCAGACACAACTAGAGGACATAGGCCTGTCATTTTAGCTCCCGCATCCTACTAACGTGAACCATTTAACTACTGTAGAAATGATGTTTTA